AGGTATTTATACACTTAGAGACGCCCAACAGACGTATATACTACGACGTATACATTCAAAAACGCCCAGAAGAACAACAAATTTTTTAAGATTTGTAAAATACGTTCGAATTTTTATAAGCACTTCAAGAGGACGTCGCAGCGGAAGAAAAACCAAATTTCAGATTTATATTTATATACTAAGCTAAGTTGTAATTTTAACGAGTATAACTTTATCGTAAATCGAAACAAGTAGTACCATTTGATTTAACATGTTCCCCATTTGAGTCAATAAGTTGTAGAGTTCCACAAGGATCAATACTTGGACCTTAGCTGTTTTTAAATTATATTAATGATATTTATTTGTCATCAAAAATACTTAATTATATTATTTTTGCTGACGACACTAATGTTTTCTTTTCTGACTTAACTTTATTAAATATTTTTTGTAATGTAAACACAGAACTAACATATCTCAATGAGTGGTTTATAGCAAATAAACTTTCAGTGAATAATGAAAAAGCAAAATATATTTTGTTTGCTAAACCATCTAAATCCGAGAACCATCCACTTACACTACCAGAACTAACTATCAACAATATTAAAATAAAAAGAGTTTTTTCAATGAAAATAATTGGAATAGTTTTCGACGAACATTTAAATTGGAAAAGCCAAATAAAGCTAGTCGAGAACAAAGTCTCAGAGACTTTAGGGATAATGTATAAGACTAAACCTCTTTTGAATAAAATATGTTTAAAAAATTTGTATTTTTCGTTTGTACATAGTCATATTAACTATTGTAATGTTGTCTGGGCAAACAATCACTCATCTTTCCTAAAAACTATTTATACAAAACAAAAGCAAGCAAGTCGATTAGTTTCGGGCATGGATAGATACGAAAGTGCCGAGCCGTTACTCAAGGAAATAAATGCCCTAAATGTATACAAATTAAACATCTACCATAACTTGTTATTTATGTTTAAACTTCAAAACGAATTAATTCCAAAATATTTTTGTAAAAACTTCTCTCTTATTAATCATAAAAGTATTCATGCAACAATCTTGCATAAATACTTTGTATGAATGCAACATGTTTTTTTTTTTAATTATAATTTTATTACGCAACATGATGTTTATGACATTATCATCATTGATGGATCCAGGATTTTTTGGTGATTAATCTCGCTAACTTTTAAACATAGAGCAAACTCCAAACATTAGTCTGTTTATATTTATGTCAAATAATGAGGCTGTGTGAAAAATTGCGATGATTGGAAGTTGGGAACGAAAAAGCCCTTTAACTTCATCCCCCACCCCCCACTTTCAAACGGAAGTGGCAACTATTTGATAATTTTTTTTTTTTTTGTACGACTCTCAATTAGACTTATATTCATCGATAAATTTCAAGTTTCATATTATTATCTCTCAGCGTTCAAAAATTATGACAATATAAATTTGTAACCCCCTCAAATTGAGGGGGTTACAAATTTATATGGTTTTAACTTTATATGGTCATAATTTTCGGTTTATAACTTTATATGGTCATAATTTTCGAACGCTGAGAGATAAAACTATGAAACTTGAAATTTATCAACATATTGTATTAAGAAACGGTTTACTGATTAAGCTAACATTTGAATCAACATATTAGTTTTAAATCGATAAATAATAGGGCAATTAACAAAAGCTTCGAGAAAGATAAATAAGATGCTCAAAGATGAACTTTGCGAGGTTTTACCCAAAAAACAATGACAAAATTCGCATTTTTTGCTAAACCTTCATCAACAAAGTGATCATAAGATCAACAACGCTGTCCTGAATCATGTGCAAACGGAAAGAGTTTTATACATTTTTGAATTTAATTAACAAATATTAATAGATATTTGAAAATGATGATTTAATATTTCCAAGAAGAATGCAATGAAGGATGTTGTGACGCTCAATAAGCTTCATACAAGGAATATATTTTTCATTTCCTGTCTTGTTAATATTTGTTGTTTCACTTCCAAATATGATTTTGTATAATAATTATATTAAATTAATTACAATAATTACAATAATTTTATAAACAATTTAGTTGATGTTGAGAGATTATGATAATAAGTTGACAAAAGACTAACATCCAAAATTCCACAAAGAGTTTTTCTTATTTAGCTGTCTCAGAATTGATTTTTATGAGAAAATTAAGTTAAAATTAATTAAAAACTCTTTAGACAAATACATGCCACTTTTTTTACACGTTGATTTTTTGATGTAATGTGCTGGATTAGTGCTACTTAACACAACCTATGAGTTTACTTTACTGAATCCTAGCTTACACATTTTAACGTATAATAATGTATAGATAAGATTTACTGCTTTTGAGTACTGCTTTCAAGCTCAAGAAAGAGCAAGATAAAAAGTGAAGTCTTAGTGGTCAAGATCCAAACCAAAATATCTCTTCCTTCTATTTCTGTATTAAACAAGAGTTGATGAAACACTTTCAAAGGAAAGATTCTCTTTTTAAGATTACAGAATAATTCTAAAAATAGAATAATTCTTAAAAGAATAATATAGTTTGCTTCAAAGAATTCGAAAGTGGTACTTTTAATATTTTGTTTTTTTTTACTCAAAATAACTAGCCATGAAGAGGGGTAAGGATTATTTAAAGTCAGGTTGAACATTCTTCCATGATGTATAAGATTTTTCTTTCTGACTCTTTTGAAATATATTTAATTCAACTTTAGTTAAATTATTTTCAGAACCCTGCGAATCTACAGTTCTCTGAATCACACATGCTAAGTGCAGCAGGTGATCTTGGAAGTGGAAGAGGGGTACATTGGTACTGCTAGATCTTCTTGAACTGACGGTGAATGATGATCATATTGTCGGGTTTCTTAAGGAAAAAGGTTAGCTATAATAACGAAGCAGATAATACCAAAGGTTATTAAATGAAAGAAAAATATATGATACAAACGAAGAGCAGTTAACTTACTGGAAGGCTCAGGTGAGTGTTCAAAGAAAAGGCCTTTTTTTTTTTTTTTTCTCTATTTTTTCTTTTTCTACTGCTTTATTAGTAGCTTAAGCACGGTTTTGAGCTGAAAAAATAAATTATAATTTTCAAAATCTTATTTAAGTTATAAACTAATTTTTTTTAAACCCTTTTTAAATTATCAAACAACTCCTTTTAAAAACTACTTATTTAACATCAATAGATATTCTAATCGTACACCAACATTTGATAATTTTTCACACACAGTGACACTATCATTTGGCTTTCTAAATTTTTCTACGCAATCTTTTGGACATCCTTGAAGTACATTTGGATGTACCTAGTGCAATCATATTCTTATTATTTTTGTTTATTTATTAATTAACAATTAAGATTAGTGTAATTGTAAGATACATTTGAGTAACAAGATGATCGTATAGATGCGAGTAAGATGCGAGATCGTACAGTGATCGTATAGATGCGAGTAAGATGCGAGACGTATTTGTTTATCAAGAATATTATGATATTATTGTTTTCGCTTAAGTCATGCGGTTCAGAAGAATTAGTATTTTAATTCAATCCATGAAGACCATAACTAAAGAAAAGTTTAAAATTTGTATCTATTTATTTATTTTTGTTTTTTCTAAAATCTAAATTAAGTTTAAAGTTCTTCAACAGCGGTTCTCGGTGACAAGACCTGTTTGGTCTTCTTTGAGTATCCGCGTTCTTTATCTTTATTCTTTATTTTTTTAGCGATTTCTTTGCATGCAATTTTTCTTATTGATATATTTATAAATATTGTATTAAATATTGTAATATAGAGCAACAACAAAAAAAATTAAAATAATAGGTTTAATTCAATTTTCAATTGGTAATTAAATAAGATTTGTTTGCAATTCCTGGCGTACTGTTTGTAAGCTGATTTGTTATAAATGGTTTTATTCTTTGCCCATCTTTTCCATAATAATAATTTGCGGCTTAAGATTTTTTAATGTCTTTTGGATAGTGATTACTTGTTTTGTCATAATACATTTTCCTGATAGGTACAAATTCATTAGTACCAGTACCAAAAAGCCTTAGAAAAATACTCCAATAATCCTCAATTGTACAGGCACAAGAAAACTCAAAATTCCAATTTACTTTTTGATAAATATTTAAAATAAAATAAATTTTTGATAAATATTTAAAATAAAAACTTTTAAAATAAGCATTAGGAAAGTTGCAGAAAGATTTTGGTTTATTTTCACATTGGTTGAAATTGTTTATATTTATAGAAAACTGGAATGTGTTATGGTCGCTAGTGCTAAAAGGACACTCAAAAGATATATCACTCATAAGAAAACTGTTATTCGAAAAAACTAGATCAAGAAAATTCATATTGTGCGTGGGTTCTTTTACGAATTGGTACAAACCGAGTTCGTTTAACAAATTCAAGAATATTTTATGACACTTTTCGTTTGGTGAAACATAGCTTGGCCAGTCCATTTTAGGTAA